CTCTCTCTCACACACACACACACACTCTCTCTCTCTCTCTCTCTCTCTCTCTCTCTCTCTCTCTCTCACACACAGACACACACACACACACACACGCACACACACACACACACACACACACACACACACACAGGCACACACACATGAACATACACTTATTTTTCGAACCTGGCGGACCAAACGAAAACCATGTAGGCCTACTTGTAGCTGCAGGGATACAGAATTGCATTCTTTTGCCACTAACATTTGTTTTGAAATGGAGGATTTTTTAAATTTTATTGCTACAAAGATCAGTCTTTAATCTATGATTCTGAAAATTTTCAGACTTTTGGTCAAATATAGTGCGCATAAAGAATCACCACAGTAGAAACTCTCTACTTTTTACAGGCGTGCACCTCATCACCACAGGTGAAACGAGATGCGGGTCTGGGCCTCAGCCCACCAGTCGCTTAAAATATCATGATGCGCTTCGACCCATCTTCTGCACTACAACCCCTCTATGCCCACCTCCAAGCCCCTCCTTGAAAATGCACACCCTTCTCACTAACACTTCGGTTCTACAGAGGAACGGTACAGCAAACGTTGAAACAAATTGTTTGCGGTGTATAAACAGTATAACACATTTCCGACTCCTATGCACCACGACTTTCACGGTGTTGGTGAATAGAAAGTTATCTGCTACTTATTACTATTGAGGTTATTTCACCAAGGTTATCCCTTAGTGCCCTTCTTGTACATATTGTATATGGTATTAATCCATTTGATGCTCGGAGACACTCAAAGAGTAGTGGGTCTTTTTCCCAATGGCAAGCCTGCGAAGTCGCAAGTTTTTTTTTTTTTAATACAAACAATGGTGAACCTATATGTTTTTCAACTCAAAGAGCGTACTCGAATAGGTTCACCATTGTTTGTATTTAAAAAAAAAAAAAAAAAAATCCTTTTTATTTGGGTTGAAAGCGGTACAAAAACCAACGACCTCTTAAAACCAAAAGCTACCAGTCCCTGCCTTCCATAACCTCTCTAACCAACATAGTGTAGGTAATTCAAAAGAAAAAACTCTTAATTTCAAGTATCGGTGTTGGGAAAATAGGGCAAAGTGGACGTTTATCCAAACTCCTAAAATGTCGGAGGTCGGGCCCGACAACGGCTGCCATTGATAAATCTGACCGGCGGCCGTCGTTTTGTTTCCACCTCCGAAAAGGTCGGAGGCCCAACCGAGGTCCGCTATTTTCCCACGAGGCAAAGGTACTAGTGGTTTACTTTAACGGTTTTCATTTTATTATTATTATTATTATTTTTTCAAATCCATGGTGTTGTAGAGGCCAGTCACTGAGTACACAGTGATCACATGGAGCAGTAGGCCGTGGGTGTCCTGGAATATGAGACCACCTCCCATCCCATCCTCACGCCGATACTCCTAGCGCACCCCCTATCCCAC